CCAGAATTCCCCAGCCAGCATGCTGGCTGGGGAATTCTGGGAGTTGAAGTCCACACATCTTCAAGCTCCCAAGGTTGAGAAACACTGAACTACAATATATTACAGCAGCATTAGTAAAGGCCTACATTATAAAGCTGCAATAAAAATCATAAAAGAATGTATATGAAATATGTTGAATGTTCAGATGGCACCATCTAAATGCCCAATATTTTGATTCCACACTTTTTCTCATCCAAACAATAGCAGTAGCTATATGTGACCCTTATTCTCCAACCCAAAATGTCCATTATTTTGAAAGCAGGAACATTATTTCAGTAAACATCTTTACTTTTTTGTAGTGTACTGTATTTGCATTAAAGTGCAAGTTAAGATTACTCAGTGATTTATATTTTTTCTTGTACACCCACATAAACAAATTCCTGCTTCTCTATATAAACCAAGACATTCATATAAATATATTTTCCAAAGCAAACTGAGCCATTTTAGATAAAGCAAGAAAAGCAAAGATAACATTTTTATACAAGGTGGCCCCCTTTAACTTAACTTGAAAGTAAAAATTAAATTACTGAGCTAATGCTGCTACTAAAAGGCACATTACTTATAGTTTGTAAACAAGTAAGGAATCACATAGATCATTCACCCATTTTTTATCTTCCGAACACAGATCTACACGTTGTCCTCTATAACACTTGCTGATAAAAAAATCCAATTTTTTAATACATTAATCATAATGTTTCTGGTGAAAGAGGAAAAGCGAAGAGCCATCCAAATGCACAATGCAAGACCATTTTCAACTGTCACAGGAGTCTTCAGAAAATCAGACTGTCAAGTATGTGATGTATTCCCAGAAAGGTTCATTTACAAAAAAATTGTCAGCTGAACAATATACTAAAAAGAAGTCCTGGATCTTAATGCAAATTTAATCTCATGCTTGAGGATCTGCAATGAAGTTAGTTTGTGCAGCAAAATATACTTCCATTTCCTGTAACTCTGTCCAGGGAATAGGGTGGACTCAAAGAACTCATGCCATAGAAAACAAAAAGTCTTTTAAATTTATTTTTTCTTTTAACAGTGTCTTATTTGATGTATATTTCCAACAAGGGACCTTTGCTAACAAATAGACTGGAATAATACAGTATTACAGTAATGCTATAATAATACTATATTACAATAATATAGTAATACTACTGAATTGGATATAATATTTTAATTACCGTATTTATCAGCATATAACATGCACTTTTTTCCTTAAAATTTGGGGCTGAAATCCTAGCTGCATGTTGTACGCCAATACTCAAGCGGCAGGGCTGGGAGAGTGGAGCCTTCATTTCAGCCAGGGCTGTAACCGGGACAGCTCTGCAGAGCGGGAGGTGAGTAGCGGGTGAGCGAGCGAAAACCAGCACTCCACATCACTCGTGTGAGCGCCTGAGCTCTGCAGAGCAGGAGGTGAGCAGCAGGGGAGCAAGTGAAAACTGGTGCTCCCCATCGCTTGTGCGAGCAAAAACCAGTGTTCCCTATAGCTCGCGCGAGCGATGGGGAATGCTGGTTTTCTTCGTTCAAAGAGGGGCTTTTTCTTTCATATCACGTATTTACCTTATAAGTGGTATAAATATTACTAAACAAAAAGTTCAGAGCTCCCTTTATTTCTTTTCCAAGTCATTTATTTTAAATGTAAGGTTTTTTACTCAAACTTCCTTCTTAAAATTAGGGCGCGTGTTATACGCCTGTGCGTGTTATACGCCGATAAATGCGGTGATCAAAACATTTTTATCAGATCTGATTTGAGTAACCTTTTCCTCCTGGCTGATCCCAGGCAGTATTTTGGTTCTCTCACAAACTCCAAGAAATAAAGCAAATTAAAAGATGCTTAGGTGATACAGGCATAAAACAGCAAGCAAAGAAGACAAGAAGTAGATACATTCAAGCCTACTGCATGACAATCAGGGTGGCAAAGCATAGCTACTTGATCATTCTTGTTGCATCTGTGGGCTGCAATTGCACTCTTGAGAGTGTCCTGGATCCTAACCGGGGAAGAACAGGTGGAAAGAATACATTACTGGGATTATTTGACTGAGAATTTTGTGGATAAAATTGGTTACATCTGAGTTGGAGGCCAGATAGATGGAATCTATTGAAATGTCAGGGGTGATGTCTTGGGATGTTACCTGGCAGGTTTTTGAGCCTGTAGATTTTGAGGAAGTAGACAAAGTTCTCTGTAATCTTAGCTCCACCACTTGTGGACTAGATTCCTGCATCACCTGCCTGATTAAAGCGGTCAGGGAGCAAACTGGGATTGGATCTAAGCAGTAGTCACTATTTCTTTGAAGGAAGAAGTTCCAAACCTACCACTCATGAATAAGCTCAGCCTGGATCCAATGTAATTGGACAACTACCATCCAGTCTCCAACCCTTTCCTTTGGGGAAAGGTTATTGAGGAAGTGATGGGGCTCCAATTACAGAGGATACAGATTATCTGGATCAATGACAATTTGGTTTCAGGCCTTGGAATGGGATGTAAACCACACTAGTCACTCTTGTGACCTGTGGCAAGACTTGGGTGGAGGAACTGTGACCAAACTTATCTTCCTAGATCTCTCAACAGCCTTCAATACTCTCAACTTCAGAATCCTTCTGGAACATCTGCAAGGATTAGGAGTTGGTGGCATTGTCTTACAGCAGTTCCTCTCCTACCTGAGTAGGCCAATCCAGCTGGGATGGGGGACAGATCAGGCATATAGGTTCTCCTATGGGTCCTTTCTTCTATCCTACTTAACATCTGCACTTGAATCATTGGGAGACGTTATCCATCAGTTCAGGGTGGGGTATCATCAATATCCTGATGATATTCAGTTGTACATCTCTACTCCGAACCCAATGGGAGTTATGGTGGAAGGACTGACTTGGTACCTAGAGGCTGTCAGAGTCTAGATGGGGAAAAAAGGGGTTAGACACAACTCAAGCAAGATGGAATGGCTATTAATTCAGAAGTCTATTGATTCCAAGACCATACCAACTTGAAATAGCAGGTTCACAGTTGGGTGGCCTCCTGGGCTCATGGCTTGAAAAAGACATAAAATTGTGGCCAGGAGGCCCTTTGCCCTGCTTTGGCTAGTGCCCCTGCTGTAGCCTTATCTGGAACAGGATGATCTGAGAACAATCACTCAGACATTGTCATCTCTTGGGTAGATAAGTTGCTTTAAAAAGACTTCTGCCATTGAGGACTATCCAAAAACCTTAGCTGGTCCACAAGGCAATGACCTGCAAGCTTATTGTTCTGTCATGGAACTGCCACAGTACACACTGCTGTAGGTTCTGCACTGGTTACTGGTATGTTTGCAAGTATAATTTAAGATGCTGACTGTTAATTTTAAACCCTAAATAATTCAGGGCCTGGATATTTAAGAGACCACATTTCTCATACAGTTTCTATCTGTCCAGTCTTATAGCCAGGGAGCAGCTACTAAGAATTCCCACTTAGGGTGGGAATTATGGGGTGGGATGAAGGTGCAGATGATGGCAGGTATTCTCTGTGGTAGATCTCACCTATGGAATAGTTCTTCCCCTGCCCAAGGCAAAGATGGCCCCTACTGTTTTGATGTCCCAGAAGCTGATAAAAACTTGGCTCTTCTAATTCTGGGGAATTGGCTGTGGAGCCATCAGTGCCTATATTATGTATTAAGGAACCTGTTGTTATTGTTTATTATTGTTGTTTTATTATATTTTAATGTGTGTGTGTGTCCAGCTTGAGACAGGGATACCTTCCTTAAATACATAAATAAGATTTTTAAATAAAGTTAGTAGCCTTGCAATCCAGCAGTGTCTCTCTCAGCTGATTCATACATGACTCTCAACATCCATAAAAAAAACCACAAGGATGTCAAAAAGATGACACTTACATAATGACACTATTGTGCAAATCCCACAATTTCATACTTGCCCCATGATGTCTGACACAAGTATACATGTCACAGCATTTGCATGTGTGACATCCTGTCCCCTTTGCTCCCATCTGGGGACCCTTGATGCTCAACATCTCCAAAGTAAAGATAAGAGGAGGAGAAAGAAAAGCACAAGCTGTATATGAAAAGAACAAGTTGTATTATTCACTGTTAAACATTTGACAAGTATTTGCCTTACCTTGAAATAGAAATGCTTTGCTGGTATTATGTAGTCCAGACACTTGTGTAACTCCGATAGTCATATTGACAAGATCCAGTTCTTTGATAATATCAATTTGTAAGCTAGGGTCCATTCCAAGGCCTACAACTAGGAGACAAAAGATTTATTTTAATCTAAGTGTAATAACTAAAGATACTGTACAATCATGTACAGTGATGTATGCAAATCTGATGTTTAAATCAGCACTTGTTCTATAAGTAACAAACGTTGCACTGCATTAACTGAGACTGAAGTCCCATCTTTCTGGATAGTTGCGGAATAAGACAATGCACCATAAATTATCACCATTAATGCGACAGTATGACATGATAAATGAGCCCTGCAAATGAATAAGCCTTTAAGAGCCAGAAAAATAAACAATAAGACACAGATTGGGTGGAGAATTTCATGATCTATTGGCCAAGCAATGACTGTGCCTAATGGTTGCACAGTAAGCATGTGTCAGATTACAGGCCACATTTCTTCTTTAACGGATTTGATCTAGGTTTTTGAATGTGACTTAGAATGTAATTTGGATAAACTTACAGTTTCCACTCAAAGGAATAATGTTTTATATTTGGAATTATTGGGAGGACATAGCCAGGACCTTTTTTTTCCTGAGAAACTTTCAGAGCTAGGCTTTTGGATTCCCCACTAGGTGATCCCACGCTCCTGACACAGAGCCAGCTTTGCATTCTGCAGGTTGGTAACAGCCCAACCTGTCAACCCAATATTGTTATAAAAAGTGCCTTTTAGGCAAGAGCCCATTTACCTTGAGGGAACTTTGCGTGGAAATGACTTATAAACAGGAGCAAGGCATGCATGCACAATGCTTTTATACTGACTAGGCACAAAGAAACTTGCCGCTTGCATTTGCTTAAAGAAACAACTGTGAGCTGCCTAAGGGTTGCAACATCTGTACCATAACAAGGATTCAAGACATTTCACAGTCCAGCAGGCAGTCGGCATTGTCAAAACTGACACCACTCATGTGTTCAGCCAGCAAGATCCTCACATGCTCTAGCTCATATGCTCAACTGCCGCAAATAAGGAAGACGTCTCCTCGAGTATCCTACTTTGTTCATACAATTCTTAGTTCTGGTTCATTTGTTTCAAATTTCTAAGACTGCAATTGTCTTCCCTGAGACAAAAACAAGCCAACAGCCAGAGGCATCCAAGGAAGAGGGGAGGGGGCTATGCCAAAATCTGAGCTTCACAATCCAAAACCTGCCCCTTTTATACATGTGTTCAACGATGCATGCGTGTACAGAAGGAACCAAACCTCTGTCCCAGTGCTGTGCTCACCATTGGATAGATTTTTACCTCCTCCCTTTGAATGCTCAGGTCAACCCCTTTGTGATCTCTGACAAAATCAGATGTGCCGCTGGATTTGATAGCAAGCTTTATTCCTTGCAAAATAAAACATGGTGACACTGTCTCCAACTCAGCTAGTCTTCTCTTCTTTATTGACTAAATAGCTTACTTACAACATTTAATGTAAACAATGTAGTTCCAAAGTAAAGTGAAGTAAGCCTTCAGTCTAATGGACTAATAAGGCAAGGGGTATCTATTAAGGCTGAATGTCTGTTAAATGGCAAAATGTTGGGTTTTTTAGCCCCAAAAGACACTCATACAAAGGATGTGCCCCCTCCTGTTACTCTGCACAGCCCCTATAGCAATACTCCTCATACACCGGCTCAGTGATCCACATTGAATCACACAAGATTCATCACTGATTTCCATTCCTGAACTAATCCCTCAGTTTAACAGACCTCAGTTTATCTGACTTCAGATTTAATGGATAAAGTCTGTTGGATTTAAATGTTGCCTAAATGTTCGTTACTGAATTGGGACTTCATATTGCAGTAATAATTTTTCAGCCTTACCCTAAAACTCAGCCTTAGCCTAGAGCCAGCCCTGAACCTGTTAATGTAACCAAGGATTCCCATATAATAGTTATTATATTATTATAATTTAATAATAAAAATAATTATTATATTATTATAATAATTACAATTATATTAGCAGGTTCAGGGCCAGTTCTAGGCTAAGGCCCAGTAGGCACCAGCCTAGGGGCATCATGACTTGGGGGGCATCAATGCCCCCCCAAATTTATAATGAATAGACAAACATTTTGAGGCATGGGCAAGGAACTTGCCGCTTGGCAGGTGCCCTCTCCATCCCCAGCACTGTCTCCCTCGCCCCGTGGCTTGTCTGAGGATTGGGGGGGGGGAATTGTCTGGGGCTGAAAATTGTAAGTGTAAAGCTCAAAAACTCAAAGAAAACAAGAAACAAGAGGGCACGATTTTGAAATTTTGAAATTCCTAACAAAATCAGAAGATGAGCCAAACCATAGGCGGCACCAGAATACGACTTTGCCTAGGGCGCCAAAACATCTAGAGCTGGCCCTGAGCAGGTTATAAGTGTGAATCAATCTGCCAAACAGCAGTTTAGTTTGACATGAAGGAACTTTAGGCTTCTGTATTTGCATCTCGCCCTTTTCTTCCTGGGCAGCTAGAAGAATTCTGAAGTTTTTACCTTAGCTTAGGTACAGGTTCTTGTGCTGTGTAGCACAGAAGACTGTGCTTGATGTGAGCTAAGAATTATTTGAGTATTTAAGCATAAATTACCATAAAATCAATTATCACTCTCCACAATTCCAAGTCTAGACAACATTACAAACTTTAGCAAATCAAAAGCAGAAACTACCAACCTCCTTTTCTCTTTCATGAGTGAGAGCGTTCAGAAGGTTCATTGCTATACATTCATGCCATACTAAAATGATGATAGGATTTAGCTTTTCCATGACCGTATAATTCACATTCCTGCCTCTATTCATGAGCTATACTGTATCATCTATGAAGCTTGTCTGAGTTGTCTTAATTATAGGATATTTAGTTAATATTATTTTAGTGTTGAAGCAAAATTATTCCTTCAAAGTTAAAATAAAGCAGTGGGTGTTCATTTCCTTGGATCAGCATAAAAGATATTTTGCATCTGTTTACACAGCTACAGGATTTCAGAAATAATTCAGAAAAGGTGTTTTAAAATCCAGAACAGTACAAATGGAGCACCTATCTGTAACTCTTCAAAACAGCCACATCATTTTCTGAGAGTATATAACTGCCCTCTGCCACTGCAGCTGCTCCATTTGTGCTCCTGCATGCTCTGAAGGACTTGTTTTGGACTCAGATCTGAAGCATTGTACAGACTGGCTACTTAGAAATAAAAAGATAGTGGATAGTTGTGTAAAGTTGCTTTGCTGGTGATTAAGCATTATACATAGCTTCAACTAGATCAGAGGGAGGTAACTTTTTTGGGTCAAAGATCACATTGAACATTCCTTGGGAAGCTGAAAGGTTGCAGTGTGGATGGAGCTATATTATACGAATGGGCAGGGTTTGGGGGGGTTTGACATGCCTAGTTTTCATCTGCTTAAGAATGGCAGGAAATTGTGCCATTTCTATCAGTTTTCAGCAATCATAAAAGGGGCCTTGAGGACCATAGTTTGCCACCCGTGAAACAGGCACAAGGAAGTTTGCATAAACAAAATGTTTGTGGCATCTTTATTGGCGCATTCTAAAAACAAATACTGTTTTTTTCTGAAGTTTTCAAGTGATTTCATTAAAAAAAACTGATATGCATTCAACTATTGCAGATGCATTATATGTGGATTTATCTCCCAGTGAAGAAAGTATGCGAAGAACTCACACCTTACATATTTTTGAAGAAAAAAAGGCACCAGGTAAGTTTCAATAGATTAAATCTATGAAATGTAGATCCTACCTCAGAAAATTCAAGTTTTCTGATATTATCAACCACTCAAAATGTTTTAAAAAATTCTGTATATCTACCTAATAAGGTAAAATCATCATATCTAAATGTGTCTCAAAACCTGCCAATGAGGAAATGTTAAAGACTTCTCTTGCTAATCTGATTCATATATGGAAGAAAGAGCTGATCCAAAGTGATGTGGAAAATCCAGTTTGCTCTTCTCCACTCCACCAGACTTCATAATAAAATATCTGATAATTTGTTCTCCTTTAAGAGCATCCAAAATCTACTGGTTAATAGAAGGGAACTGGAGTGCACCCCTCTTCCTGAACACACCAGGCAGACAGAAACAATGAGAAAGAGATTTTTTAGAATACTGGGGATGTATGCTGAAATAATGGGTGGGGCCAGTACAGTTATATTTCATTAGTATAACTAAGTCCTATACAAAGTTGCAGGGTTAGGAAGAAACGGCCAGGTTTCACCTTCCTTCCTTCCTTCCTTCCTTCCTTCCTTCCTTCCTTCCTTCCTTCCTTCCTTCCTTCCTTCCTTC